TTCCAATGCGCAAAGCCATGTGCATCGCGGCATACGGAGACTTGCCCCTGCCATAAGTAGACCGAATGACGGAATATCTCACACGCCTCATCCGCTCAAATAGTCGTCTTCCGGCAGATGGTCTTTTCTTTGCTCTCTTCTCATGTCGGGTGGCGTTTGAGACGTTTGTGGCACCCTGGGCCTTCTGTGACACTGTGGCGTGTTCGCGATCCTCGACGACCTTTTCAATGTCCAGCCATTCCGATGCGCGGAGGAGAGTGCGGGCTCTGTTCCTCAGGGCAATAGCATCCTCCTCTGCAGCCTGGGGAGGGGTTGAGTGAGATCCTGCTCTCTCAACATCCTCTACAGTCACCGTCAGGTCCATCTTCGTGACTCCGTCCTCGGAGGCCATCTTCCCGTCGCTGACGGTCACCACTGGTGTTGCTTCCTGATGGAAAAGGTGCAAGAGCCCAGGGAGCTCATGCTCGACGCCATCCCAGTAGAGCTTCACGAGCCCATGCTCGAGGTGAGTTTCCGCAGGTCCCATCCTCACCTTGGGATATTTCGGACTGCTAGTGAGGTACGGTGGATTTCTGAAGCCGGCCCAAGCTTGGATGATCAGCTCCCTTGGAGCCAATTGACGCATTCGAAGAGCAGACGGCGGCGTGCTGGTGCGCTTGGCACCGAGAAAAGGTCGACCAGCGCCGGCAAAGGAGACTTGGCTGCGCAAACCAGCACAGCACGGCAGAGCACACGCAATAAATGGCAAGAGATGGACAAGGAGATGTCACAGCTGCATCACGACAGTGATATGGGAACCAGGACCGGCGAGAAACTGGCGCCTTGGGCCGCCCCTCGCTAATATGTTGGGAGGACATGCATTACGTGCATGCGCAGGCCCAACCAGCAGCGCGCGTCAATGCAGCATGCCGCTTTGCTCCAATTTCATGTAGCGCCCTGAGGCTCCTGAACCTGAAGCCCCGTTTGGAATTATTATTAGTGCGTCCAGTCCAGACTATTGTTTCTTGGGACCGGTCTAGTCCAGCCACGGCATCATTGCTGGAGGCTGCTCGCAGGCTCCAATTCGTCCCTCTGCGTCTGGCGGCATAACCCGGATCGACCAGAGGCAAAATCGTGGGCACAGGTCCAATGAAGCCTCTGCCAGATGTTGGCTAGGTCGTTCTCACCGGCCGCACCGGCACCACCAACCAAGCTGCTGGCTCTGATGCTCCTCCTGTCCCCCATCCCAACCCACGTCTCAGGCGGGCTCGTATTATAAAATACCACTTCCCCATCCCATCCCGCCGTCTTAGCCTGGCCTGACTTCGTTATCGTGCGATGGGTCAGTGTGACACGAATCAGGCGCCACGCCAGCAGTGAAAGCCATCAATTTCGCCGTCCCCCTGAAATCCGCGCTTACACGACAGCCCACCCGATATCACGGCGTTACTAGTCGCTAGCCGGAGGGAGCCAATGGCGGAATGCCATCGATAAATGCCCGCCACCTGTCGCAGTGGTGTTTGACACATGATACAAGCGCCGGCCTCGCTCGACGAAACACGCCCGCAGTTCCCTGACACTATCGATTTCCCGTATCAAATCGCGATGATACACGACCTGCTGAGTATCTAATGAGTCCAGGCCATGGTAAATGGCCCTCCGTAAGCACCATCATGTGGAGACGTATTGGAAATGTGGCTGCCAAGCATCAATCAGCTCAGCTCTTGGCTTGCTCTGGGCATGGCCAGTCAGCCAGCACCATCCGTGATTTATGAAATGTCCCATACCGACTCGCACCAAAGCGTCCGTTTTCTTGGTGGAACGACGCGGCGTAACGATTTCTCTAAAGTAGTGCGACCGGACGCTATTTGGCGGTGAAGCACCATCCAGTGACTGTGTGGCGAAGATGTCGGGCCGCGTAGGTGGGAGCACAAGTGGGTGTAGGCCGGAGATATTTGACAGTCACAAGGTCTGGCTCTAGAGGCCTAGCCAGATCGATCTTGGTCCATTTACCCGATCCCAGCGGTGTTATCGCGGACTGTAGCAGCCATACTATGATGTCGTTTGGAAGATTGATGAAATCTGCATTAATAATAAGAAGGGCAATGCAGATTCCTGGTTCTACTGTAGTGAGCTTATGCTATGCTGATGTCATTAAGCTTGCATGAAGATCATTGCATGGAACTTATACTGAAAAAGCAGGTAAATCATAGCCATACAGTAGTGTCATGCGCCTGACTCATATTGACAGCACTTTTAATTTCTCTAACCGCGTGTGAGTGAGACATGGCTGAGATACTACGCCATTGTCGTTTCCCAGCCGTTTTCAATCATCACATCCATCCAATACACGTCCGCTGGGTGGTCATAGAGACCCTCCTCACCAACACGAATATCCACTGCCCGAGAAGCGCACTCATCCATTCTCCTCCACGTCTCATTTATGATATCAAGACATACATGAATAGGCTTTGGTGGCAAAATGTAAAGAAATGAGTTGAGGCGGTTTTTCACAAAGTGCCGCATCCGTGATATTTCAATGGCGTGAGAGTTCACGCCATCAAGCTGATCTACCGGCTCCGCCTCGGAGGTAGAGCTGCCGGTAGATTGGACCTTGGCCGGGGTTCTCAGTTCACTCGAAAGCGATACTAGGATGAAGGGTTGAAAGTCCCGGGTTCCCGATTCGACAGGGATTGACTTCATCATGCTTAACACTTGCACCGCCGACGACGTTAACCATGAATCGCGCAACTCCATTCTATGTTCAGTTCCACCAGGGATACCATCGTGGTGAGCTTCGAGGTCCAAGAGCCCGTCCTTGGAGAGTCGGCGATCCAATAAATCGGGGAAGATGTGATAGAGCTGCATCAGCCCAGAACATCGGTACACTTCTGCTAGAGTCAGCAGATGCCATACCGGCGTGTTGCTATCCTCCGGGTCGACAACAGTGTGTTCGAGAGGGTAGGATAGATTCACAAGATACTGTTCCAATTCGCTTGCTGTAGCCATATCCTTCTCTAGTTGTCTAATATGCGCAAGAGATGCAAAACGATGCGAAAAGGCCATCTTTCTCTGTTTTCGGATTAACCTTCCAACCTTTTGAACCGCATTCTGTGTGTCTCGTGCGAATCCTGTCCACGGATGTGGCACAAAGTGAAGAGGAGTGCTACTGGTAGACATAATGGGCCTCTCACACATGTCTAGAGTATCATCTTCCGCTACATATGAGAGAAGCATTTCCCAATAGGTCATAGACTGGTGGAAGAAGTGATAATCAACATCGGCCTGCGTAAATGCGCTTGCTGGCATGGTGGATAAGCATTTACGGACTCGGTTGAAGAAGGTCAGTCCCAGGTCCCGCGGATCATGCCAGCTAGCTGAACCGCCGAGCATGAGCATGGCCAACAAGGAATCCAAGTTGTGCGAAGGGCATTGGTCAAGTAGTTCGACCGCATCCTTTCTCAACTTCCGCCCCAAGGCTCCAAGTTGTGGAAAGTCCTGAACAAGGCTCGCGGCAGCCATACTTTGAAGCGTTGAGTAGAGAAGCGGAGAAGAGTCCCATAAACGCGAGACGGTTGTCCTGAACGGATTCATCTTGCTGTCGTAACAGGAGAATATCTGTGCAGTTTCTTTAAAGTAAAACTCAACAAGAACCAACGCAGGGGTGTTGAGCGATTTGGACGGTGTGATGTTCGTAAGGCGACCAGTGATGAGGCCAGACCGATCGCCAGCGCCGTCATCTCGGTTCAACGACGACGCAAATATGGAGTTGGACGAGGCGCTTGCTGAAGTTGAGAACGGCGTTGATCCCCTCCGGAGCCATTGGGCTTGTGATCCGCCTATTTGGCTGAAGGAGGGTGCATCACCAGGGCTATGCCGTTCCAGTGGATCTATCGACTCCTCACCGAAGCTTGAAAAATCAAAGGTGTCGAGGTAATCCAGTGTTGGCACTGGATCTAGAAAGTCAAGATACTCGGCCAGTTCTGGGACTTTGGAACACTCTTCAAGCTCTGGTACGTTGAGAAGCGAGCGACTTGGTGAAGCGGTCTGCGCTGAGAGATCGTCCACAAAAGGGTTCCTCTGGGCAACCTCATCGTCTTCGTGGTTTGTTGGGCTTGCCGGGCTCTTGCTCTTGTTTGGAGGATCTGACATGTGCATGGCGGGGACTTCGGCGTTGTTCTTCTTGACGTTCTTTGCATTGGGGGCACCGGTAGATTTGCGTACGGCTTTCTCAGCCCCATTTGGAAGGAAAACCTCATACTTGTTGGACCACTTGAGTTGCTGGCCATAGCCTGGGCATTTGACACCGGCACGCATGCATCGTCCGCACTCAGGATGCTGCTCATCGCACCTTACCTATTGACCGGTCTGTGAGCATGGAACGACTGAAACAGACAGTGAGTTTCTGGGGGGGACGCGATACGTACACGCTGACCCTTGCACCTTGGGCATCCATTGTGGGAGTATCTCTTCGGGGCCCGGGCTGCCTTCTTCGTCTTGGCCCTGGTGGTCTGGGGAGATGATTTGTCCATGGCCAGCACACAATGCAATCGGTGGCCAAACGGAACAAAAGTTGCACACAACAGATCAGATCGGTTGGAGAAATCCAGAGACGAGGCCTGTAAGTGCGGGGGTGGAGTCGAGTCAAGCTGATGGGTGACTGACTCAGTGACCAATCCCATCTCTCTCACTGGTTATCTCTTCATGCCTCGCCTCCCTGTGCTATCAGAATCTCACACTAGCCCATCTCGTGTAGCCCTATGTCATTATCTCTGCCGGGGCCATCGGGGTATCATGTTCCCCGCAGAGATAAAGCCGTGTCTCAGTCGGGTTGCCTTCCATATTGGGAAAAAAATTGCGACTGAGTTGGTTTGTAGTATATGGCAACAGAATGCGATGCATGATCATGGCTTGTGATATAAGATCTGCTAAATTAGTTGGCATGCTTTCTTTCCACACATCGAGTGCACACACAAAGTCTACCTATCTGCCGTGCTTTGGAATTAGAATCTGTCATCAAAATGAATCCCAAAGAGTGGTCGCCAATCGACCTAGATGTGCCCGGCTTTGGCACTCTCACTGGTCTTTGCTTCGATAACAATGTCTGTCAGTACATGGGTGTCCCCTACGCAACAGTACCAGGCCGGTTCCGCCGCCCGCAGCCAGTCTCGAAACCCTGGCCCGGTGGAAAATGGGACGGCACTAAGCTCGGGTACGTATCAAACTGTTCTTCATCTAGTTCGTAATGTGTTCGTTCGCTGATCCCCTTGCCTGCTCGGATTAGGCCGTTCTGCTCACAGCCGCCCCGAGACTTTTACCCTATCCCCAGCCCAGAAAGACCGTGGGTAGACAACCCCAAAACGAGTTCCAGTGATTGCCTTAGCCTGAACATATCCGTGCCTTCCAAACCGCCCGTTAATGCAAGCCAGGGCCACTACCCTGTCATGATCTTTATGCATGGGGGTGCTTTTGTTTACGCTGCCGGCGGTGCTGCTATATACGATGGTCGTGCACTGGCTGATATCTCACAACAACTCAATGAGCCGACAATTATCATTTCGGTCAACTTTAGGCTTGGGGTCTTTGGCTTCTTGGCAAGCAAAGAGATTCAAGAGTATAACCTTGAGTTTGGCGAAAGCGGCGTTGGAAACTATGGACTCTGGGACCAGGTTGAGGCCCTTCGCTGGGTCCAGAAAAACATCCGCGCCTTTGGCGGAGACCCAGACAGGGTCACGCTCTTTGGCCAGAGCGCTGGAGGTGGTAAGTATAACCTCAATGTGGCATATCACCGCAATTGCGTCAAACAGCTAACAGAGATGCTCACAATAATAGTTTCCGCCAACGTCCATCTTCTCCGCAACGAACCACTCTTCTCGTCTACAATCATCCAGTCAGGGCTGCTTCCCCTCTGTGGAGTTATGACAGTTGAACAGTATCAAGTTGTCTACGATAAAATGCTCACAGAACTCGACATTCCCACCGAACTACCACCGAGAGAACGTCTGAAGCGTCTAATAGAAATGGACGAGGACAAAGTCACAGCGGCCATGGTACCCGTCTGTGTCATTCCCGTCATAACCTTCAGCCCGTGTGATGACAATGTCCTCATCGAACAGCCCATGCCAAAATACAGCGACTATTCCAGTTTTAAAGCGCCATCTTGGTGCCAACGGATCATCATTGGTGATGTAAAGAACGAGTGCGTTATTTGGAACAAAAGTTTCAGATCCCTTAACTCGAAAGAGTTCACGGACAGGGTCTATTCCTTCCTTGGCTCAAAGGAGAAAGCGGACAAACTTCTTTCCCTTTACCAAGTTGATCCCTCAGCAAACAGTGATGACAACTTCTGGAAGATGGAAGAATTTACGACACATGGCCTCTATTCAGCGGTGAACTGGTCATTGATTCGGGCATACCCTACAGTATATGCATATCATTTTGACGTGCCTTCTCCCTTTGACAACGACTGGAGTGGACTGGCCCATCATTCGCTTGACAACGTGTACATCTGGTCTCTTCTTAGCCAGCATCTCCCAGCTTCACATCGCCAGGTCTCAGCTCAAATGTCCAAGATGTGGATTACATTTGCTAATGGCAACGATCCTTGGGAGAGGTTCGATAAGAGTGGCAAGATCATGGTCTTCCAACCCGAAGAAGGCGTGCTCAAGACAGCCGAGGCAGACAGCGCACGAGGATACAAGAAGTGGGAAGAAATTGAGCGCATTGGTCTCCTCAATGACTTCTATCGTCTGTCTGATGAGCTTTGTATGAGAAGAGAAGAGTTGACGAATGCTGCAGTAGCACCAAGAGCACTTCGGGTAGATAGCATGGAAGCTTACGGCATTAAACCCAAGCCAAGGGCTGCCGATAACTAAAGGCATCTTGAATTATAACTACAATACATTGATCAGCAAGTCTCCTGTGCACAATTTATAATCTACCTGGAACTATGTTGGCTGTGCTACTGTTCTGTATCTGAGCCACTTGGCGTTGTTGTTTCCAGATTGCAATGGACAGCACAGACTCGAAGGTATAATATTCATTATATGCTTGAATAAATTATCTTATTTATTTCTTTATCAATGAATATCTTTAAAGCCCCCAGGTAATGCTCATACTTGACAATGATAGGTAGTAAATTAGCACTCCAGCAAGATCTAATGTGGCAGGAATGAGTTGGGCGAGCAACCATTTGTGAGGCATGATAATCAAATCGACTCATTCCGTCTTCTCAATTCAAGCGAACGAAAAAGATCATAGCCATGTGTCTAAAAGATCGGCTCATTGCAATTAAGGGGGAACATGTTACTTTTTACTTCACATTTATTGACCAAGCTACAGGCAAAATGCCTCCCAATTCCACAGAAAACGTATCTTTAACTCAAATCAAACCAATGAATTTCAGCTTCCTATTCAGAAACATGCTGAAACCTGAGCTCCAACTTGCCACCCTGTGGTCCCGCAGTGAAGCCTTCTGCCAACTCCATGTCCGGGGCATGGACAATGAATGTTTTGTAGTTGGAGTAGACGCCAGCAATGCAATGCTTCATAGCTGAGAGTCGTCTAGTTAGTATTATATCCTTTCCTTTGTAATGTAACGGAAACTCACAATGAATTGCAATGTTACTCCCTATACACATCGCGCCTCCACTGCCCCATGCCCAAAACCACCGTCTCATCTCCGACAATTTCTCCGGTGTTTGGTTCAACCAACGCTCCGGTATCCACTCGTTTGGTTCAGGGAAGACATTGGGGTCGCGGTGGATTGCGAATCCGGAGGACTGTACACGAACACCTGGAGGAATGTTGTCAAAACCAGCAAGGCTGCATGATGGCTCTGGGGTGACACGTGGTTGACCTCCTGGTACGGCGACCCACAAACGAAGAGTCTCTTGAAGAACCGCATCGAGAAAAGGTAGCTGGTCAACGGCTTTTGCGTCGGGAAGCGATTCGCCGTTATCATCTGGCGTCGAAGGGTAATGAAGAGGGGACGACAAGGAGCGAAGCTCATCCCGTAGCTTATCCTGAAGATCTGGTCGGCGAGAGAGCTCGTAAAATAAATAGCACAAAGTATCGCCGCTTGTCTCATGAGCAGCTGCATTGTGATCATACATATCACTTGCAATTTCTAAGCGGCGAGGGTACGCTTGACCATTGAGAGGCCCCTTCTCCCCATCTTGCTTGATGAAGGCCGCCCGCTCATGTTTGTATACTAGGGGAACATCCTTGACATCTATTTCAGACCCATCGGAGAGGAGCTTTTCTGCATTATCACAGATGCGCATTTGCCAGTCCTCGAGGTCAAGAGTGGCTTGGTCCACCCACTTCGGAACCAGGGGCAAGCCAATCTTCTTCATGAAATTGGTAAACTTGGGCAACTCAGTCATCCAGAACAGATATGGCCTCCTGACATAAAATGTGTGCAGATACCATTTACGCTCTTGCTCGTTGTGAAGAAAATTGCTTCCTAGTTTCAAGCCAAACTGGAAGGTCATGAAGGCATCCATCGAGTACGATGCAAGAATTTCCAACACCTCAAGGGTAGTGCCAGACGTGGCAGCCTCATGAATTATTGGCAGCAATCTATCATAGAGAACTGCCTTGGTTGTTGCGCGCACTGTTGGGTTGGACAGGATGTATGACTTGGCATACACATGTGATAACATCCGCTTTCGAGCAGAATGAGCAGCGCCCGACATGGCGAACATAGGGTCAACTCTTCACTGAGGTGTTAGTTTGGAGGTTATGAATGAGACAGGTGGGAACTAACCCATAATTGATGAATCGATTGTGGTAAAAGTCGGTTTTGTGAAATCCCCCAGTATAGATGGTCTTCAGACCGCCTTCATAACAGTTGACACTGAGTTGTGATGGGGCAGTTCTGAGAATCGGCCCCTTTAACTTATGCAGGTCGTACATTATACGATTCTCGATGTTCTTGTAACGGATCCAGTAAATCCATATTGGGCAAAGATGACTCGTGAAGTGTGCCGATGGAATTTTAGACAGTGGCGATAAGAAGAGAGGGAAAACGATGAGCCGGTACACAAGGAAGAGCACCGCAGCAATAGCTGCGATGGAGGAGATGCTAAGTTGTAACATGACGACAGAGATACTATCTCCAGCTAGACTAACATTCCTGATGCTCATACGAGGCTAAGTATGTTAGGCTTTGCAAACGCTGACAAGGGAGGCTATAGGCAGGACTTATCTACACGTGTAATCATAGCCAGCTGTGGCTACCGATAGGCTTTCTTGTCTCGATTAGTTAGCCGAATAGTGAAACCTCTTCTCATTCCCGAGAGGACTAAGGATCTCCTACAATAGGAAGTAAATTTCGATGGCGTGTCCCACAATTAGGCAGTCGACATTTTTTGCACTTTTGGGAATAGCGTCACACCCCTTATCTCGGCTTTCACTCAGCCATCAGCATGAGGGCCTCCTAATCTTGAGCAGACTCAGCCGACTAGTCTCAAAGCAACTAATCAATCCTGATACCATATCGGACTTCTCCACAATTTCCCCAGGATCTAAGGCATGGAGTCTCTATGATGATTTCTCCTTGCATGGCCTGGGACGGCTATATGCAGTAGAGTTCCCATTTCAGTCTTCACTCTGCTGCATTCGTCTTGGCTGTCAATTCTTTCACATAACCATCGACTACATCTTGTCAAAACCTCTATCTACACAGCTATCCTCCAGTGAGGGTCACACTGGTCACCATGAATCACGACGAAGGCACCCCTGAGGTTGAGAAAGTCCGTAATGGCTCCGATGCTGATGCCGAGCGACTTGCTGAGATGGGCTACGTCCAAGACTTGAAACGGAACTTCTCGGTCTGGTCAGTCTTGGGCGTTGGCTTCTCTTTGACCAACTCCTGGTGGGGTGTCTCGGCCGCCCTGATAACTGGCATCAACTCCGGAGGCTCATGTCTGCTGGTATATGGCACCTTTCTCCTCGCTCTTGTCTCTATTGGAGTTGCTACTTCTCTCTCTGAGCTGGTCAGTGCAATGCCCAATGCGGCCGGACAAATCTTCTGGGTTTCTGAGCTCGCTCCTAAGAACTATGCTCGTGGCGCTGCCTATGTGACTGGGTGGCTAGCTTGGGCCGGCTCTATTTGTGCGTGCGCGACGGTCTCTCTCTCTGTGGCATCTGCTGCCATCGGGTGCTATCAACTTTCCCATCCTGAATTGTAAGCCTTGTTTCTGCTCCCCAAGTGCCAATTAAGCTAACTTTATCGTGATCTCAGCGAAATACGCCCTTGGCATACTATTGTTGGATATCAGGTTGCCAACATAGTAGTCTTCTTCTTTAACTGTTACGGACGGATTCTCCCGAAAATCGCCGCGATTTCGCTATACACAACATTGATCTCCTTTGTTGTAATCCTCATCACAGTTCCCTCCGTTGCGACAACCCATCAAGACGCCAAGTTTGTTTTCGCTACCTTTATCAACAATACCGGTTGGTCGCAGGATGCCATGGCCTTCATTCTTGGTCTCATCAACGTCAACTATGGCTTCTCATGCCTTGATTCAGCCGTCCATATGGCAGAAGAAATAGCTCAACCAGAAAGAGCTATTCCTATTGCCATTATGGGCACTGTAGGGATAGGATTTGTCACCTCCTTTGGATTCATTCTCTCCATGATGTTCAGTCTCTCCAACTTTGACGTTGTGTCTACAACTTTGACCGGTGTCCCCATCCTAGAGCTCTTTTATCAAGCCTTGCAAAACAGAGCAGGGGCAATTGTTCTTGAGACTCTGGTAATTGCTACCGGAGTCGGGTGTCTGGCGGCTTGCCACACATGGCAGTCAAGACTTTGCTGGACCTTTGCCCGAGATGGAGGGCTTCCATTCTCCCTATCTTTAGCCAAGGTTCACCCACGGCTCGACGTCCCGCTCAATGCTCATATCACTAGCTGCATTTTGGATGCCATTCTAGGTTGCCTTTACCTTGTCTCAACGACTGCATTCAATGCGTAAGATGAAATATTTCCCCTCGCCGAACAGCCAGCGCAAACTGACAAATTCAGAATTCTGACGGGCTGTATTGTATTACCTTACCTCTCTTATGCCGTCCCAGTCTTGTGCTTGCTCATAAAAGGGCGAAAGAATATTCAGCATGGGCCATTTTGGTTACATTCTTTTGGCTTGGTATCAAACATCGTCCTCCTGATGTGGGTGTTGTTCACCTTTGTGTTGTAGGTCCCCAAATTCCTAAATATGCCATGTCATTATAGAGGTATCTTTACTCACATTAGAGACTATCTTAGATATTCGTTCCCATCATATTTACCTGCAACAGCCGATAGTGAGTATCTAAATCGTTTATTCAACTTTGTACTAGATAGCTAACATCCAGGGGCAGACATGAACTATATCTCCGCAGTATACGGTTTCATCATAGTGGCGGCATCACTTGATTGGATTTTTAGGGGTAAAAAAGTCTTCCGTACACACCCCAACCTACGGGATATGTAGGAGACCACTCATAATGGATCGATCGTGCGCGTCAGAGAGAGTTCATGTATGTAGCTATTCTAATTGGAAAATATATTCTATTTTCACAATGGGTCATCAGATGGGAATTGTTCCACGCAGGAACCTCCTCCTTAGCTTAAGCCCAGAACGATTCATAATCTGATTACGTGGTTCTCTCGACATACGTGATCAGCAGCAGTTATTTTCGGGTTGTTAATATTTTACTAACCCTGCTAGCAAGATCATGCAGAGTCAGAAGAAACCAATTGGCGTACGGGTTCGCTTGGAATAAGATTCTTCTCACACTGAAGTGATGGGTTGGCGAGACGCATATAAAGATTGGAACTGGCCAGAGTTTATAGGAGCTAGTCTTTTGTCTAGTTGTGCGGGCCAACGTTTCATACCTTGGAGAGTCATCATCAATAACACGAAGATCACGACTTTCCTAAGAACGGGCCTTAGATTGCTCCTCCTTCAAGAAGTCCACTATAAACTCTTGATTCTTGTGTATAAACATATCGTCAAGGCCTTTCTCACGCAGGGCATCTCCAAAATTCTCTTGCCACTTTGGATCAAATGCATCGAGAGTCTCGAACTTCAAGCCCCGTATGTAAGTAAATGCAGTTAACTTTGTCTTCTTGGGTGCTGAATCTTCCCGACTGTCCATTTTCTTGAGAAACATTTTTGCTTCTTTCTCGTCAGAGAATGAGCACCCATAGACTACCCCGTCCATCTCGAAAGTGTGCAGCAATGGTTTGGTGGCACTGTATTGCCATTCTTCAGGGACCTGCATTTCCCAAATAACGCCGCGTCTTGCCGGCTGGTAGAGGGTTTCCCGTTAGAGCTATTGATTGTTATTCGGAAATAGATGATGGGTCAAAGCCACGCACAGTAATGTCAACAATCCGGAGCCATATCGCATGGGAAGGAAGCAGGTCGTTCAACAGTACCAGGGCACCCTCGAGCCCAGTATATGCCCATTTTTGGGGGTCAGGGTAGGCAACATAAAGACGGATAAGACCGACCGCGAGTATTCGATTACTTTGCTTCGGTATTACTGATTTGACGATCTCTTTTTCAGGATCTGTTAAGATGCTGGGCATGATGGGCACAGGATGGCCCTAGCTAGCTCCACGAATCTAATGATGTGACCGCAAAGGTGATCGTGTACGTTCACGTCTGACTGGTTTGAGATGAAAGATTGATTTTGATGATGACAAACGCCACGGCATCGACACAGCACACCACTCCCGATCAATCACGTGGTCCTATGAGCGGGGAAGACCAATGTGGAGGCAGCTGAATGAATCAAAATGCTGAGCTGATGCTTGATTGCTTGATGTTGGGTTAGCCCGAGCCCCAGAAAAACACAGCCCAGCTGAACACTCACCTAAGACTAGGACTGCACAGCCTCTCATTTCCCATCAATCTGGTGTTTCCAAGGCGATCATACTCATCACGGGATTTGAATTGCCGCCTACTCCATTGACACAAGCTCGCACTGTCCATCTGCTAATGCTTCAGCGACTCTTGGGATCACCACGACCGAACTGATGAACCCACTGGGGACGATGTTCTGGAAAAAATCAATCCAAGAGGAACCTAAGAGCACAATGAGCAAATATCATGAGGAGGTCGATTCAGCAGCGGCTCCGGTATGCATCTTCTCTTCCCCTTTGCCTTCAATTACAGCAAGTTTGTTTCAGCATCAAACAGCCTCCCTCATCAAGTGACTGACCAGGCCGGACAAGATATCTCCGCCGCGGTTCTTCATGGACGAGGAAATGATGGGGCCACCTCCGCAAATTCCATCCCAACCCAAGCGCTATAGAGATCAGCGACCACCAAACCCTCCCCTAGACTTTACACGTATTCAGGCATCGGCCATTCAGCATACAAGCAGGCGCGGAAAGCCACCTCCCCCGCCACCTCCTCGAGGTCTTCCTAAGGCGAATCTGGCGATGCTCGCTGCCCAGCATGCAATTCCAACCCCTCCTCCCAGACCGCCCTTGGCGGTTGGTGAACCTAGGTTTATCAAACCCCCTCCTCCACCAGTAGCTTCTACGGTAAAACCTGAGCCTCAGTCGTCTACCACAATTGTTGGTCGAATGCCGGCTCAGCAACCAGGACCCTACATGAAATTGAGTGAATCAGCCAGCCTCATAGCGCGGCGCATCCCTTCCGTAAACCCTCCTCTAGAAAGCCCGAGCCCGAGCCCGAGCTCGAGTCTTGGCCTACCATCAAGAAATAGACCTGTATCCGACCTAGTTCGTGACTCGAAGCTCATCGCTTTTCAGACCGATGATACCTCAATAGTCCGCCATATCGTCTATACTTCAAATCCCCATATGCGTCAAAGACGAATGAAGACGGAGGAAGCGTGGAAAAGGCGTGAAAAGCTTGGTACTGGTGCCTTTGGACAGGTCTATCTAGAGGAACTTCTAAGTGGAAGTGAGGCTGGAAAGCTCCGCGCTGTTAAGGAAATTGCAAAGACGCCGCCCCAGGACCCAAGGAAGGAAATTGACTATACTCGGGAGCTAGAGGCAATCGCCAAATTCTCCCATCCCAAGGTGAGTCAAGTGAACGTTCTATGAAAAACGGACCGAAGGATTAATACTGCATTAGTATGTTCATTGTTTTGTGAAATCATACGGTTGGTACGAGAGTGATTTGACGATATTTATTACTATGGAATATGCCAGCAAGGGCAATCTTCAGGGTTATCTAAGGAAGCCGTTTCCTGAAGAAGAAGTTAAGCAGATCACATATCAAATTGCTGAGGGCATCTCCTATATGCATGAGAACAGCTTCGCCCATAGGGATCTGAAGCCTGCGGCAAGTCGGCTATATCTAAGCTTCAGTTGATCGGCTACTAATCTCGTGTTAGAACATTCTTGTCTTTGAGTCCTCTCCTGACTGGTGGGTGAAGATCAGCGACTTTGGCATATCTAAGAGGGCAGAAGAGGAGGTCACTGCTTTCCACACACTAGTCGGAACGAGAGGATACCTAGCGCCCGAGATTCTTGGCTTCTTCTCCCCCGAAGACACCAATGCCCACCAGTATGGCCAAGGAAATAACATGTACACTGTTTCTGTGGACCTGTGGGCTCTTGGAGCCATCACGTTCCGGCTCCTGACGAACCATGATATCTTCGTCAATCCTCCAGATGTAGGACGATACGTGATATTGAAACAACCATTTCCGACTTCTCCTCTTCTAGAGAAGAGAATAAGCGATACTTGCGTAAACTTCATTGAAAAGATTATGGCTAGATCTCCAGCAGACCGACTTTCAGCGCATCAAGCTCTTAACCACGCATGGTTATCCGAGCTACATGACCCAGCACAGCAATTGGATGGCATGTCGACTATGTATGTAAACATGGCTCTCCACTGTTCCGTATACTAACAGAATTAGGACTATTTCGAGTAACAACAGGCCCACGGAGAATATGGAACCAGATTATTCTGATTCAACAGCAAGCGCACAGTGGCCAACATGGGCTCAATAGGGACATAGACAAGGATTGTAGCTATCAAACATTCAGATTATGTCCTATTTATCGATTCGTTAATCGCTCTCTTATTGTGGACGGAGAGGTATTCTCAGGTTCATTCAAGACCGCACGTATGGAAGTCGCCACGAGGATAAGCAAATGGTAGGCTTTGAGGCAGTGGGTTCAAAATTATCCTCCTATAATAATAAAAAACTTCTTGGCCACGCAGCGCAGCTAACTTGATGTTATCATGACTCTTCAGATAGACTCAAACAACTAGTGCCTCATTTGCGAACACCCTACTCGACAAACTAGTTCGTCCCCGCCGAAATTGATTCACCAGAGCTTTTACCTTTTCAGGCTATCAAACCGCCCGTCTCTACTTGGCGGCGGTCCGTTGATGCCTCAATCGCAACTTTTTGCCGTTTCGGGTAATGGACGAGACTGACTGCGATGCACTCAATCATCAGGCAACATCACAAATATGGGTTGATTGATCGCAGAAACTACTTAAGGGATGTATCATAGAATAAAGGCACCAATAGGAGGATCGTTTTCTTTCAAGTTTTTTCTATAACCGTTCAAGTCTATACCGCCAACCACGATGTCCCCAGCCCAGGATTTCAAAACCCCCATTCAGCATTTTGTCAATGCCCAGAGCACATTCCAAACACCGCAGATCGGAGAATCGAACGCCTACCTCGGTGATGTTTGCGGCACGTAAGTAAACTTATTTCTTCCAATTTGTAAGATGAACGTGACTCATACAAAGACACTAGACAATCAGACGGAGAGAATTTATCTTGTGGCTTCTTCCGCATGACGCGCGGCGAATCACTCACAGGCAAATACCCGTACAATGAGACGTTGATTATCCTTGATGGGACCTTTGAACTGGTCGACGGCACTGGAAACAAGTCGTCTGCCAAGAAGGGCGATGTATACTTCTTCCCAGAAAACAGTATGGTGACCTTTAGCACATCTGATGAAGGACTTGCTTTCTACACTGTCCAGCGAAAGAAGAAGTGAAAACCGAAGAAATTGCATCATAGACTCTCAGTCTTGAACTGTCGATTAGGAAGAGAAGGTTTATTCACTGCATTCAAGCCAAAATGGTCCCTCTAAAGTATTTTGACTGTTATGGTCTTTTTGCCTTCTCATAGGAATATGATCGCTGTTGAGAGTCTTTGGGATCCCTAAGGCGCTGTAAGCACGATACTCGCGTCTCTGAGCTCAATAAGCCAGGGTAGAGCGTTATCCGCATAATATTTCCCGTCAAGTATTGAAAATTAGACAAAGCCTGGAACATCAGATTTTGATATAAATTCCTGACACAGTAACTCGTTGTAGTTGTTTTAGTTTGCTTCAAACCATTCCGTCGATATAACGGGAACTGTGGGATCAAGATTCGACGAAAAGAGAGCGTCAAGACGATCAAGATCAAAACTGGGATCAAAGTCTGTGAAAATCCCTGCCTCTCCTTCAAAATGAGTAAGACCATATGCATCAGTGGGCATCAAATTGTCATTTAGCGCCGGTAAAGGCCGAAGACTGCTCCGAGATGATTCAGAGGCCTCCAACAGCATGTGAGGAGTCTGTCGTGCCGCTGAAGTCGATTGTTGGCCGTCCTGTAGTTGAGTCATATCTTCCGGCTGGCCAGTATCTTGGGACTGTTCTTCCGAGGACGCTGGGCCGCTGTGGGCTAGTTGATTCCTTCTCCTCTCAGCCGTAACCCGCTCCATCTCTTGCAATGTATCCATTGCCAACTTAGCAACAGCACGTGCAGATACGAATGCCTTACTTAGCTCATCAAGGACCTCACAACCATTTTGGAAGAGGGTGTAGGCTCGTCTTCGACTTGCAGCTGTGATGCTATTGCGCAGGCTCTTATATGCGATGGATGTTGCCAAAGAGATAGAATAAGGCACGACCGGCCAGAACGAAACGGTATCCTTGAACTCTTGCGAAGCAATTGAAACGATACTTGCTGCACCAAATAGCTGAAGTTCGGAGCTTCGAGTTCCATTATAATCTTTCTTTGCTTTCGGTCTACTGTGGAGAATGACAACCGACAGGTAAAGCAATTCGAGTGATGCTAGTCATATGTTAATCTCATTTTTCGTTAAAGTCATAACCCTGTTGAATTTCGCTTGAACAACAACTTACCAAGCAGAGCATTCCCTACTTCCAAAGCACCGGCTTCCTCGACCATGTCCTCAAATGAAGTATTGCTAACAGCCTCTGCTCCTGGCAGATCGGCGTGTGGACGGTAGAAAGAGATAGTTTGATCCAAGTAACGAGTGATCAATATCAGCAATTTAAATGCAGGTTGCTGGGAGTCAGCAGAGGCCTGAATGGTTTGGTCCATGTCTCGCTCATGTATTATTATTGGACGCCCATTGGCAGCTGCATTAAGCCGGTCTAGAACCCACACGCACCAGAATATGCGTTTAGACTTTTCAATTCTGTCACTCTCACTTGGCCATCCCAGGTGAAGGCCAAGAGTCTGTGCAAGGTTCACTGCTTGAGCGCAATAATAGGACGACAGCTCACTACAACCTGGTCTATCCACATGAAATGCCATGAGAACGGAAACTTGTAGGATAACCATGTTATCGCTGAGGAATCCCATATTAAGAGATTGTTTGACAGCCGCCGCCATGCGGTCTCTGAATTCAATCTGAGAGAGTACTCTCTCAGTATTCAGCAAACGCAAGTGCTTCCTCGATGAAGGATCCATCGACGCGACCAAACAAATGCACTGTTTCAGGGCCACGGCTTCCATTTCACCATGCTGATCCAGGGCCTCGGCGTGGAGAATTGGAAAGATCGGGTTGATCTTCGTGTAATATATGGACAAGAGGCATGCATATTCGGAATCTGGAGGCACAGTCATCAAACACTCCTGCAAAAGTGCTGGTCTAAGCCTTTCCAGTAGTGGAGCCCTGGCATCTGTTTGAGACTCAGCTCTTGGTTGTCCATGGTCGTTCCTTTCATGAGTGTCTCGACGGGTTGGTTGTTCAGACTTTTGATCCAGCCACACCCCCACATAATCATGACGCGACACGCTTTGAGCTCCTTCCCTGGTCGTTCTGTTGACTAAGAGGGAAGCCTCGGGGCTCAAGTCTCCAACAAAGCGCAGATGGGTATCCCCCGAAGAGCCGCGTTTTGGGTCTGCTGGACCGGATTTAGAGTTTTCCAAGCTAATAACAGCTGGCATACTTTTCGACAAGTGGGAAGAAGAACCAAGGCCACTATTAGAAGCCTCTACGTTGTCTTTCGAGGAGTTTATCGCCTGGTGTTCTGGGACCTCCCGTGAGGTGGTTGGTAAAGGCTCTACGTCAGTTGCCGATTGCTCATTGTGGCGGCAACGTTTCTAAGTTGTTTTAGTTAGCAGTAATCAGGATAGGAATGAATTTATATACATACATGACGCTTCTTGCAAGGTTCGCAGCTTTTTGAAGCCTGTTTCCGCTTTGACCCCACGCCTCCCACATGGTCTGTGACAAATCTCAACATCTTAGCCAACGATAAGAGGTATGTTTCAGCTGGGTTGATTCCCAGCTACAGTTTCTGAGCATTAACATCATATCAAGGGTCGAATCATCATAGATACCGGAACCGATGTCGTATACGAAACAGATGGTAGAATATTGAGGTGACAACCCTACGTGTGATGTAGTGATGAATGGCTTCAGTTCCTTCCTCCAATTCGGGATGTCTAAAGTCACGTGAGCAATAGTGTATTCACGTGACGAGTTGACTTACAGCCAATCATTATCAGCTGAGTAGGATAATACGCAAAACGTGAGGCACTTACTGAGAAATTTATTCCAATAAGAGAAATATTTCTCTTGTCACTATACTATCTTTCCATCTCCTCATAGTTGCGTTTTTCGGGGTTGTACGTTGAGTCGTGTGTGTTGGGGACTGGACGCACCTTGCTAATACCCGTCCGCCCACACCATCGGTACCTAAACACGAGTGGCTGTAGTTTCGTTACGGACGAAGTTACAAATAACGGGTAATCTATGAATACTGTTGAATCTAGCACTTGATCTGCGAATTTGGTCTTTCTCATGAGCTAGCCGGTTCGTAGGCTCAGTATCTCTTCTTAAATGGGTGATGTAGGTTCCTGGCAGGGCTCATCTTTTGAAGAAACGACTTCAAATAGAATCCAGGAATAATTCCGATCGCTTATCCATACAGCAAAGCCACCCTACCCTATAGCCAACTTCTCCGCGGCGTTTTCATCATTGAGTGAGTCAGTTTGGTTTTTCGACAAGCCATCCCCTCCACTCAATGAACATCAGGTTAGACGATTGGAATCAGTCTCAAATTCCTCAGTATGTATACTAGCACTGAGCCTCTCCGCCTCGCTAGCACTCATTTCAACCTATCAGTAGTAGATAGAGGCAGCCTCGTATGAGGTCTACACATGCCTCTCCGTTCGTTTATGCCAGCCCTAAAATGTTGAAACTGCAAGCCTGTCCTTCACAGCTTGTCTTTACTCTGTTGGCTATAATCTATCCTTCTATGAGTAACAGGCTTGCATTCACGCTCGATGTTGCTGTCCATTTCCTTATCAATAGCGATGTTGGTTCTTAACTCATAGCTTATAAAAACACGCACGATTACCATAAGGAATGCAGGGGAGTCAATGGCATCGACAAGATAAACAAACGACAACAAGATGAGAGAAGACGCGAAAAGAAAGAGAAGACAGTATGAGGGCGAAGGGTGTTGGGAAAACAGTCCGTTGCCAAACGAGCTGCTTGCTCTTAGATGATCCTCGGCCAATCAAAAATTAGAATAATCCCCAGATTTTTCCTTCATTTGTATTGAGAGTAGCGTGAAAGAACCTGCTATAAATCAATTGATGGGCTGATGTCCGTGATAAAGAGCCTGTTGGTCTGACTGTTGGGGGAAAACCAGTCATTTCCCACCGGGCGCAGGCAACGATAACTAACACAGCACAACCAACACAATAGCAGTAGCGCCTTGGGAGAGGCGAGGCAAGCATTTAGTGCATCTAGTGCTGACCGAACAATGGCATTTTCTCGCACGTCGCGTCGTATCAACTGATCCGATGGCAGCAGCTCCACCCGGCGGTGTTATTGATGACGGAAGAGTCTGAAATCAGCCTGTCGCCCCTCACTGAGAAGGAGACGAATCATTGGACCAACAAATATGCAACCCAACAAGGCCTTCCAACATCTCCTCCAGTTACTTAAAGGCCACCAGAGCCACAAGCACACTGACACGTCGACACAACCCTCCAGAGTCCAAACTCATACGCAGATATGGCGCACAGCCAGCAGACCTTCGTGATCGCCGAGGTTGACGGCCTATACCGCCCTCTTGCCGCTCTCAACAATCCAGACCTCGGCGGGATGCGTGCCCTGGCCCAGTGCCATCGCCAGCTCCAGATATTCTCCCATCCCAGTAACCGGATTGCCCTCGAGGCGGAGCTCTTCTCAGCTAAGACATTCTTCAAAAACTGGACCGCACCGGACACCAAGCGACCGAGTAGCTCCAACTATAGTCTACGATCCCCTTTTTCCTTCATCTCCACCTGTTTGACAGTGGGATCCTTGCATCGCACCGACGGCCACCCTCCAGCCGCCATACAAGAGCTTCCCTTTGATATTCCCTTTGATTACTGCCCGAATGGCGGAGGCATCATTGTTATCGACATCACTAATTTGGATAAACTCAAGTACTGCTTTGCGTTTATTTCAAGTATGACATGCTCCCCACCTCTCCTTCCAGTCTATATTGCAAGCGCATGTACTGATATCACAAAGGGCCTGCGCACTCCAAGGAGCGCGTATTTCCAGCAAGAGTAGGGCTGCGCTCCCGCCCGCTCTCTGCCAGGCAGTATCTTTTAACATACTATTCGGAACATGACAAATTTCTACAAGAGCCGCGGTCCGTGGCTATAACTAGAGGGTTGGAAAGATGGCCCATCATCGATGTGGTTAACCTTGCAGGTAAGTCCTACTTGACAGGGAGCATGCCATGGAGTTCAAGTGACTGATTTAGCAAACAGATACATGGCCTGGGGGAACGTGGAACATGTCACCTCTACAAGCCCAGTCCGTAGGTAAAACACAAGCTCCTGTAACTGGTCCACGAGGATTGGTTGAGCAGAGTGTCGACAAGATGATGAAAGCTCTCCAATCATCGTCAAGTGCAGTCGACCTCAACACGATTAAACAGGAAATGTCACATTTTCCAGGGCTCAAAAAGCTTGTCCAGGACTGGTTTTGTCAAAACTCACACCTCATGGACGGATCTCCGACGACTCTCTCTCTCATCTCCCTGGCGTATGAAGGAGAACAGGTTCTCGACTGGGGCTATTTCCCCATTCTTGACGTTCCCTCCCTGGAAACCCTACTACAGAACCCCGAATTTCAGAACGTCCACACGATAAGTCTTGCCACACCACGAGCCAGTTACAATCATCCCATACGACTATGGCCCGTCCTCTCTACACTCCCAAACCTCAAAACCGTCTGTCTCCTCGACCCGCTCTCAGTCAACGGATTCGTTACCTGCGAGCCTTTTGTCGAGCTGGCCCAGTCCGACCTCAACATCCGCCTCAACAAACTCACCATAACCGCACCCTTTTACCACTCCATGCACGAAGAAAGCTGGATCTCAGACGACACCTCTCCGCCATTGCTCACACCCTCTTTCCCCATTGCTCAACTCCTCGTCCACCACGAAAGGTCGAAGATCTTCGACCTCGCGCAGTACGAGTACTTCTCCCTCGGCGACGCCCTCCTCAGCCCCGTCCGGCTCCTCACCGGCCTGTTCCAATACATGAGCATGATGCGCTCCCTCCTCTTCGTAACTGGCGGAACCACCTCCCTCAACGTGGCCGCATGCTTCGCAGCCAGCTCCTCATCCCTCACCCCAACGCAGTTCGGCGAGGTCGGCCCCCTCCCCGCCCAGATCTACAAATACGGCCTCCAGGCTGGCCGCAAAGTATCCCATCGAGGTCAGTTCTCCGCCATGAGAGACCTCCAGCCCGGACAGTGGACCGTCCTCCTGCGCCAGATCCGCTCCGCAACGTTTCAGTACGCGTTCGTCAGGGCCAGGAAGATGATACGCATCAAGGAGTCCATCCGGGGCCGCAAGCCCATCGAGCCCGACATGATTGAGGTTTTCACTGTGGAGGATTTCCTTCGCGAGACGGCACCGGACGTTGATGTGGGTGGTGTGCAGAATTTGTATAGCCAGTTATTGCCTGATGGGTTCGACACAAGCAGCGTGTTGACCCAGTTGGATTCACAGGAGGCGTGCATTCTGTTAGATGAATTCGTCGATAAGACGAAAGAAGTGGACTTCGTCAAGCAGTGCATCGCAAATCCCCCAGAGGTCATATGGGTCAGATAAAGTCGACCATTCTTCAAGTTCACGAGAATCGGCTGCGGTTTGCTGTTTTCTCTTTTCGAGGGGGTTTAAAACCTCAGTAGGATCACTTGATACATAACTTAAAAGTCTTCGCAGGTAGTGTAGAAGATGAATCTCTTTGGAATAGAAATCTTTTATGTCTAAAAATTATCAAACGGTATTGCTCCGCATTGCTTGCCACACATGTATTCCTTTGACCAAAACAATCGCTATCCAGGACGCCGCAAACAACCTAAAACTCCTCTCCAGATGCTGTAACAAAATAAAGGAGTGTAAGTCAAAGAAAACATCACGTTGTTCATTAGGGGTCGTTGACCACATTATTCGTGAGCTGTTTGTTCCTGGTGTCAGGAATCCCACCACTATGCTCCGTAAAGATCAGAAGGCTGAAGCGACTGCAAAGGACGCCCCATGTTCGATCCTATACTTCGCCACTCATCCCAATCCCAATTAGAGGAGTGGGACTCGTCAAACACGTATTCACTGATTTCCCATGCCTGGGTGTCTGGGTCTGCGGCAAGCTTCACTCCACCCGTGGTTGATTCGGCATCGCTTTCGGTGCGTGCGCGCTTCGGCGGGTCGATGCTGATCCTAAGATCGGATTCCCCGCCCTCTTCAATCAATGAGTTCCAGAGGTCAAGGAGAAAAGCTTTTCCATTGCTCGCATCTGAGGTCTCATTTGAGTTGGGCGCCTGTTTGGGACTCTCGTCTTGTTGAGCAACGGATGGAGTAGATTTGGTCGCTTCAGCTGAGATGGTCGGGCTCGCCTCGTCGATCAGAGTGGAAACGAGGTTCATAATTCTCTGTTGCAACTTGTCATCCTTGGGAATTGGAGAAGCTGTCACCATCACATGGTTGGGTTTGATGACAGACCCAGGCCGCATTGGTACAGGGGCCGCAGTAACTACAGCGCCCTGCTTCGCCATTGTCGACTGTACCGTATGTACAGTGACTAGCCGACTCTCACCCTCCACCTTTATCGGTGCGACTTCCACTACCGAAGACCCATCCTCAGTCGTGATAACTTCGGTGGTCACAATAGCAGGCACCTTCATATTTATGGATTCTTGCTTCACCGGCACTGGTTCATGTTTAGGCGAAGGACGCTGCTCAACTTCTTCCGGGGGCTCAATCTCATCAATCCCCTGCTTTGGCTCAGTTGCCACTGGCTCAACTGCCTGCGGATCAGCTGCCTCTTTCGTAACGTCCTCACTGACCGCTGTAGCAGTTTCCGCGCGCGGCGACGATGACTCATAGCCAGAGTCATCTTCAACCTTCTTGTGCCAATTCTTGATTCGTTTACGGAGGGTAAACAAAACTCCCCTGATGTCATCCACAACCAGTTGGTCCCGGCTCATGTCTTTCAAGTCGGGGAAAAGAACCGTGAGGCGGCTGTGGTAGTCTTTCAGATCTTGCACGTCTGTTTTTCCTTCATCATTCAAAGATGCCAGGATAGAAGCCACCTCTCCGAGAACTGTTATGAGCTGGGGATCAATTTCTGACAACGACTCAGCCACAGACTCATCGACCGATGAATCATCATTAGGCAAGACATCACTAGCAGTCTCAAGATTAGGTGAGTCCTCGATAGGCAGCTCATCGACTGGAGAGCTATTGACGGGAGAATCACAGATTGAGGCATCAGGAATCATAGGTTTGCTGACGGGTGCGTATGCTGCAGCTGGAGAAGGCGTGTTGGATACAGGGACGGGTTTGGATGCAAGTTCAACAGGGGAATATTCAATAGGCGATGCGACCTCAATGAGCCCAAAACAGCTACGGGCACTATGTGCCCTCGCTAGAAGTGTGGGTTCCTTTGCCCCAGCGATTGCAACTGACTCTTCGAATTCTTTGGAAGAGCATCTCGCAAAGGGAAGGGGGTCTGGGGGCGGAGAGAAAGGAGATGGGCTTCGACTAGATATCACCGATGTACGGTCTCTGGATTCCACCATGGCAGCGCCCAAAAAGTCAAGCTCGGGGGCAAGCGAAGGTGAGGTTGGATGGTCATGGGCTGTGGGAGTTAATAGCTCATCTGGAGCTGAACTTCCTTTCGGATCCGACGGCAAGGAAGATTGAGAGGTGTCTGCCAATTCAAACGTTGGCGGGGGAAGCTGGTCGGCTCTTCCAGCGGTTCCCACTGAAACATCTGGAATTTCAGATTCATGAAATGGGGAAGGAGCTCGGCTAGGTAGACCCGAGAGCGGTGCATCGAGATCGCTAACGCACGAGTTGGAACGAAACCGCCCATGGATAGGGGCAGACTGAGAACCAGTAGGTGCATCAGTGTCAAAAGGTTGAGACCTTGGGCCGCCCCAGCTGCACTGGCGCGCCGACTGCGATTGCGTTGGCGTCGTCAACCTCTGCATATTGATGAGGCTGAATGACCCCTCTTGCGGCGATGCCTCGGTGACGCTGAGACCAGGGATCTTAGATTCGCTCTTCATTTTTCGGAGCAGAAGCTTAGGTTTTGCAATTCCGAGCCACTTCTGTTTCGCTGTTGGTGTCTCTGTGATTGGTTTCTGCTTCGCTGATGGCGTCTCCGTGATCGGTGTATCGGATACCGGTGACTGTGAACTGTCGTCCTTCCCATCCAATGTATTCGAGCGGCTGTTTTTCGCTCCAAATAGGCGGCCAAAGCTTAGTCGCGACCTTAGAACAGGAGGCGGCGGCGACATCAATGAATCATGAGGGTTCTCATCGTCTGCATCGCATGATGATCGGGCTGCCACAATTGCGATTACCTCCTTGGCGGTATCCGCATCGTACTTCTGGTACTGAGATAGATTTCTCCGTAGGTTGGTCTCAGCTTCGATGGGCATCGACGCATGGCGAAGCAACGCTTGCTTCAAAATAGTCTGCTTCTCGAACTGCCCTCCCTCCAATTCGGCTCTGAAAGACTTCGGTCGGGTGGCAGATGTATCCTCTTCTCCCAAGATGCTAACAAGCAGATCCTTCTTCGATTGAATAAAGGAGATCTCATTCGTCGGGTGCGAATACTCGAATCCGGGTGGTAGCCGACGTTTAAACACTTCTGCTCGGATGTAGTCGCCAGAGAGGTCAAATATTGTTGCGAACAATCCCAGGGTCTCTTGATATTCGACCCAATCCGCCTTCAGATTCTTGCAAAGCTTCCTTTTGCCATTCAAAGCAAGTTTGCAATACTCGAATGCGTAGCCAAAGGCATACTCTCCCAGGTGCGCTAATGACAAGGCATGGAGAAAGTTGTAGATGATGAGCTCATCATCATCCTTCACCCTAGCCAAGTCTTTTACCAGTAGTTCTGCCTGTCGCCAATTGCCTTGGAGGAAGTAGCACAGAGCAAGCTGGGTCTGTAGTTGGCGCCGGCTCATCTGTGTTGATTCCGTTTCCGTCCCTCGGAAAAGGGCGTCGTTTAAATATTCAGCAGCTTTAGCATACTCCTTCTTCCAAATGCTTGCTGCGGCCAACTCGCGCAGTCCATCCAGGTATTCTTGTTCGAGTTCGTCATCACCACCATCATCCTCCTCACCGGCAGGTCCGGCATATTTAGTGCTGACAGGTCCCGATGCATCAAGGATACCACGGGCGTCCTGCTCGGTCTTGTCTTGGGAGCTGAAAACGGAGGAAAAACTCGTACGGGCGCTTCGCAGGGGGGTCGGGGCAAGATGCGCAGAATCCATCCCGGGTGCCTCTGTATTACTCGTATCAAATACGTCGTCCTCGGCCGGCTCGTGTGGCGCGTGATGCGGAGGCACATCATGACTTCGGGGTGTGTCGACCGCAGAACTAGTGGTATAGTGGAAAGCTCTAGCCTCCTCAGCTAGCTGCCGCACGTTCTGGGATATCTGGCTGTCTGCTTTATTTGCACCCTTGGCGCGGCGGAAACCCCCAACAGGTCGAGACGAAGCGTGAAGGGACTCGTCGATCGATGCTTGGAGATGGTCAAGGTCGCCACTGATTTGGTCCTCGGGATCGTTTGCTCGCAATGCAAGGCATCTAAGTAATATAATACGTCAGCAGTAGAACTTGTACCAGGGGAATAAGTTGCGGACATACAAGGTGATTACTTGAAGCATGGTCTGGAATGCCGAGTTGAATAGACGGATTTTGTCACGGTAGGTTGTAAACTCCTCCCCGAAAATGCTGAGATCTATCGAGCTCTTCGATTTCCAGCCATCCCCTCCCGGTGACGATTCCCATATCTTGTCCACCAACTGGCCTAATTCGCGAAGGATCATATGGCAGCTTTCCAGGGCGGAGTCGCACTGGCGCGAGAGCGCATCGTGAACGGGGGCGAGGTCGGACTTCTCGCATTTCTCGAGCGCGTCGCCGATGTCTTGGAGGGGGGCAGGAAGGTCGGAGAGTTCTTCGCAAAGGCCAGCCAAACGAGTGTCGGCAGTACGCAGCTGGGCGATATTTCCAAGAGCCGTCGTCACCTGTACAGGAGTCAGCATCCAATCCAGCAGAGACAATCGAATGTCTAGGTCAAGCGGTGAAGGGGGAGGGTAGGAAAACATACTATCGCGGCTGCCTGGGTCAGCGTGATCGTGAACGAGGAAATGGAATGGGGATCCATGATGCTGTGATCCCCAGCCGGGCGCCAGCAAGTCGTCGGCGGACCCTATGCTCTGGATGCAATTGTCGCGTCGTCCAAGGGAAGTTCCTAGAGAGAAGCGCAGAAGTCCTCATTCATGATTCACCAAACGAACGAACAAGCAAGGCAGGGAAGTTTAAGGAAATTGGAACCCAAAAAATGATAAAGCCGAGATTCAGATCAGAGCCCTAGGAACGTCCCGTGCGTTGCTTGCGGGGGGGGGGGAGCAGGAGCAAGGGATGGGCCAACAGTTGAACAGGGCGCTTCGTCCACGGCACTGGTCTGGGCGGTAAAACAACCTTAGCGAGGCTCACCAACGGCAATGGACACGCGATGATGATTCCTACAAGGACCGATCGGAGGAGGGAGCCCAACTCTGCCTCGCAGGCGAGTGATGGCCTGGGGCGCAGCGCCTACCGCCTGTACACAGTATGGCGATGGGTGTCGCCAAGCGAAGACCTAGGCGCCGAGACAGGCAAATTCCAGGTTTGGATCCTTCCCTCCTGCGTTAGCCAGAAATCCCAGGATGCCCCGCGCATGACGAATGACGTTGGGTCGGCTCCGGGGCTGAAACTCGAGGTGCATTTCGCAGGCAATGCAGCGAGGTCTTCGGTAGTGGGCCGTGGCCTGTTTGGGGGGGCAGTGCGGCAGGCGACGATTGGACGGTGTAACCGCTGTGCGTAATACGTGCTCTCTAGGTCGTCTTGTCTGAGTCTTGTCTGGCAGATGGATCCTGGTAAGCGGCATGCCAGGCCAGGGTGGGATGGTAGGGCCGGGACGTGTCTGTTGGTGAGAGCTGGGCTGGGCAAGGCGGGTGCCAAATCCATCCTCTGGCCTCTGCGCCACCCACACATCCCTTCGTATTAAATTAGTTCGGCAGCACTCGATTGGGACCTGTCTCACCTGGTCTCATCCGCTAGAACGGACGGCCCCCAAGCCCAGCCAAACCTTGCCCACACATGCCGGCCGGTTACGTACCTAGTAATACTATGCAGTTGGTTGTGCGGCCGAAACTGCAGGCAGCGCTTGTGGGAAGATCATCATCTGGCAATGCCCACCGCCATCGTGATGAGCGCGGCTCAGACACGCTGCTGGTGCATATCTGCCTGTCGGTTGCGTCAAGAGCTCCGGCGAAGGATTTAATTTTAGACCTTTTGCTGACTGTTGGTGCTTCCTTCCAGCAGCGGCTGCACGTGACTGCGGTTCTGATGACTAACCACTCTCGCTCGGCCTGCTGCCTGCACCGTGTCCGCCATCGCCAGTCCAGACTGCCCTCGTCGGGCCCATGTCCTGGCCCATGTCCTGGCCCCCAGTCCTGGCCATATCGGTGGACTTAGTAATATAAGCTGTTGGGATTGCCTCGAAACTGAAGCATTGCTCGCAAGTGAATTTTAATTGATTGACTCTGACTGCGATGAGGCCAGGATAATTAATTGCCAGCCTCCAGCCCCACCACGCTCTTGGTCCAATCGTCTGACCCAAGCCGCTTCTCGAAAACCTGCACCGAACCACCGGCCTGCCTATTTGACTCGGCTGGTCATTGATCAATTATGCTCCAACTGCTCTGCCCGGCGATCATCTCTGCAGCGGCCCCGAGATCGTTCCCTGGGATTGAGGCAGTCAGTCCCTGATTCATAGGCCAGATACCGACGCTATCCCTCACTGCCTACGCACCAAGGTCTCGTTCTCGTTCCCGTCCTGTGGGACAATGGAAAGTCCAGTGGATCCGGCGACCAGTTCTCGCTGGCCGCCGCTCAAGGTCAATGTATGTAGGGTAGCTCGCCTGATGAGGCCATCACCACCACCGCCAGGCACGCATGCTGATCCATTGTGTGTTGTTTGAATCTAGAAGCAAGGCTCTCCCAGCCCGCCGTCGTCAGGCCGCGACGATGCAAGCGAGACCAACTGCAGCCGCTGTGCTCAACCGATCTTCGAGTGCACCTGCTTTGAGACCATCCTCTCCCTCTCCGGGTTCGTTGCCCTACCATACTACGCTGCCCGTGCCACCCCTGTGTGGTGTCCGCAAGGAGGGCGTCCTTTCGGTGTGTCGCTGCTAACCAGGCTCTAGGGAAAATGTACCTGTCTCCGAGCTAAACGATATGCTAAAACGCATGGATATGAAGCTCGATTCGTTGGTTCAGACTCAAGGCCAATTGCAAAGTTCTCCCACTTACCAACGCAGCCACCTATCACCTCCTCCTAGCTCCAAGCCGCAAACGCCGGCTACAGTTTCATCGGTCTCTCTTGAGCCTCCTCCCACGCCCCTACCTGCCTCGCCCCTCTTTTTCGACACAGCTCGAATTCGGGAGGAGATAGCTTCTGCCCAGAAGCACGCCATCGACCCTCAACATCTGCTGGCATGGCCATGTTCCACACTCAAGTTGAGCAAGAGGGAGCTTCGATACCCAACAGAGCTGGAGATTAATCGCCCCAAGATATCAAAACAGCTACCTCAGCCAGTCAATACAGGTCAGTCTGCGATGGGAGAAAGCTTCTTGTCTCAAGTCCCCATGTCGCAGCTCCACCGGCTTACACAGCTGTACTTTTCACACTTCCACCCTTCCTGCCTCATTCTTGATGAGAACCACTTCTACTCGAGTATCCTTAATCAGGCCATAAACATAAACTTCGCAGAGAGCATGGATACGTGTGTCGTCTTGCTGGTGTGTGCATTGGGCGCCGTTGCTGCCCGGTTCCTGGGATTTGATGAGTGGGGGACGGAGAGCAAAGAGAATACTGGATTCACATTCTTCTCTCTGGCCCAAGACATGCTCCGCGACCTGGAGACGGCCGACTGGGCTAGTGTGCAGTGTTTAGTGCTTTCGGGGTATGTGTGTCTTGTGCTAAAGTCCTATATATCACAACTGGGACGGCATTCATCGGTTCAGAACTGACAGATGGTCATTAATAGGTTGTTCTACACCTCCAAACTTAGACCATACGATGCCTGGCGTTGTATCCACCGTGCTTGCTGCTCGGTCTTAATCTTAGTGCGATTGTAAGAGGATTCCCCCCGGTAGTCCAGTTTCTCTTAGTCTCATCCCTTACAGGCAAGATCGTCTAGACGCCCACGAGGTGCAGCTCCTTTGGATTACCTATCTTCAAGAAAGGTACCCTCCAATCCACTCCTCAACCCAATTGAGAAATACCCGCTAACGGATAACAGTCAAGTGCTCGCTGAGTATGATTTTCCGTCAAGCGGGTTAGGCAAGGTTGCAGGCAGTTTCCTTTTGCCCGTTTCTCCAGACACTGCGACGGACCCTCGCCTTGCGCAATATCAGTTCTATTTCCTATCTTTGATTACAGTGCGGAAACTCGGCAACAGAATATTGTATTACATGTATAGGCGAGGTATAATCGCAAAGCTTATTATTCCCTATTAGTCCCTCGCTGCTAACAAGGTCCTAGATAAACAACCAAATATCGATTTCAGAAGCCCGATTAACTCCCCGGCTTTTGACCGCCCTAGCATGTTTCTCTCGGCCTCTCGAACTAGAATAGAGGAGCTAAACAGACAGCTAGAAGAGTGGAGAGAAGGCCTTCCCGAATGTCTCGAGTTTCCGGCCTACTCCTCCTCTCAAGATGTGTCCACAGGTCCCTTTGAACCTCGGCCGGCCGAGGAACGATTACGTGGGCACCTGATGGCATGTTACTACCACATCAAATCCATCCTGTACCGACCTTTTATATACCGAGCATTGCATTATGACTATACATCTACAATGCTTTCTGAGGATGACCTAGAGGGTGCTCGAATAGCAGTCCGCTCTAGTTTCCTATCAACTTATCACAGCGGACTTTTTCACGAGCCCTTGCCTCTAGTCCTGAACCCCCTGAGTTCTTGGAGAAGGTATGTTCCCTTTCCCCCTTTGCCTCTACTTCGAAAATCATCAGCCGCGGATACTCACGATAAACAGTTTATTCGAGTTGGAAGTACAAATCGCATTTTGCAAAAAGCAGGACAGGACCAACTTTGCTTTACCCAGGGAGTGGAGGATGACCCGTCGGCTTCGGCAGAGGGTCGCGGCTGATGCGTCTCACTCCTGCCCTACTGTGTGGCGGGATAGTGAAGTCCTCGGCCGCGTGTGATACCCATGATCACATTTATGTTTTGTATACGTTTTTTTGGTTAGATATGGAAGGAAAAAGACTTGTACTAATATGAACTGTCACCACAACATAGCGAGCAGGGATTTGGAATTCATGGCATGGGTTAATATGAAATGGATGACTGTTGTACGTATTCATCATGCTTACGATAGCTTTTGATCGCAATACTGCAATTCTCCCACCGCTACTTTCGGCCGTCGAGCGTCAGCGAGGTAAGACCTATCGAAGTGGATCACTCTGCCCATGAGTTGTGAAAACTGACGTGGCGGAGGCTTCGGAGTCAAGTCGGCTGTTGTTATCCAGGCCATGATAAAGGTGATGCTTTCAGATTCTCCTTTCCAAAAGCAGCCTGCCGCAGAAGACATCTACCTTGGCACGTTGTTTACCTGCTTGGACTTGGTGTGTTCCCAAAGGAACACCTTCAAGAGTTAAAGAAAACAGGAGGGAATCCCACGCCTGGAGAGTCCCGGACGCTATTCCTCAATCTTGGGGTGAACTAACCCTCCCCGCCCGGGGTTGGCAGCTCCTTGGCGTGCATAGCGCTCCCTGATCGGTATTAAGCTTTTCATGCCTACGTAACGGAGAAGTATTATTTCCAGTTATACCCAATCCCCTCAACCGACGTCGGAGGTGGGGAGAGCCGAGATCTTTGTAAACCAACGATTGGGAGTGGAAGATTCCCCGTTCACTTCATGACTGCATCCACGTCACCGCCCCTTCACCTGGACGTGCACTTTCGAGAAGTGTGATTGCGAGCCAGATCTCACCATGCACGCCCCGAACATTGAGCCCGACCTGGTACTGGAGCATGGGTCAGATTCAGACCTAGATGTATTGGCACAAGAAAAGTCAGTACATCATCCAGTGCCCGCAGTAACTCCCCGAGAACGACATCCTGACGATGAGCCTACCACCCACTTACTTGGCTTGGATGCCCTCCTTCCAACCTTTTGTCCAGTCGAGATCCTGAAGGAGAACGGCATCAACGATGCGCTCGTGTCAGAACGGGTCTCAAAAGCAGCAGAGCTCGGATCTCCTTTTCTTTGGAGCACCTTCAAGAAGGTGACAGTCCTCTGCGGCGCTTTCATGGCGTCCTGCCTCGCCGCGTACGCTGCTGGTGCTTACGCCCTGGCAGCCATCCCAGTCCGGGAACTGTGGCGTATTTCAGACGTTCAATTCAACGCAGGCATTACCACGTTCGTCATGGGATTTGGGATTGCTCCCATGATCCTTGCTCCCGTTAGTGAGGCCCACGGGCGCTACTGGGTATTCGTAGGATCTGGAGTCACTTTCTTGATAGGGACAATCGGCTGTGCGGTCACGAGCCACTACGCCGGCATGCTCGTCTCTAGATTCATCGTCGGTTGCGGCGCCTCGGTGTATGCTACCCTGACAGGAGGCGTTGTGAGCGATCTATACCACAAGGAGGATCGGAACACGCCGATGGCTCTATATTCTCTGAGTATCATGGCTGGGACTGGCCTCGGTCCCCTCGTGAGTGGTATCGTTGTCGACCACCTTGGCTGGAGATGGGTCTTTTACATTCAAGCCTGCACGGTAGGCTTCACGACGCTCGTCATCTTCGTCTTCTTCCAGGAGACGCGCAGCAACGTTGTTCTGAGGAAGAAATGCAGAGCCATGAACAAAGCCATAGCCGATAATACATCGGCGACATGGCTGCAGTTCCAATCAGAGATGGAGGAGCGCAAGTTCACCATCAGTATAGTCTGGCGTAGCTTCGCCTTCCCACTTCAGCTCCTCGCTACGGAATCCATCGTCTTCTGGTTCTCGGCATGGGCTTCCTTCGCATGGGCGATTCTATACATGCAGTTCAGCAGCATTGGCATCGTGTTCCGGGATGTCTACGGCTTCAACAGTACCCAAGTCGGCGCTGTCTACGTGGCTGTTATCGTAGGGTCTACCATTGCCTGCTTGCTTGCCATCTTCCAGGAGCCCATCACGCATAAGTTCTGGCCGTCCCGAATGACCTCCCCCGAGGGCCGCTTGCTGCCGCCTGGGATACTATCTGCATTGCTTCCGATTGGATTGTTCTGGTTTGGCTGGACCGCCACGCCGAGTGTACACTGGATTTCCCCGACCCTGGCTATTGGATCATGCACCATCGGCATCTTCAGCATCTATCTCGCAGGGTTCAACTATCTGGCAGACTCTTACCACTTGTATGCATCCTCCGCATTGGCTGCACAGAGCATGTGCCGAAATCTCTTGGCGGGCATTTTCCCATTGTTCACCATGTTCATGCTCAAAGGTCTTAGATATTGGGGTGCTGGGAGTTTACTGGGTGGCATTGGGCTTTTTCTGACAGCCATTCCGTGGTTGTTGGCGTTCTACGGACAGAGAATCCGAGCACGCAGCCCCTTCGCCGGAGCGTTGGTTGGTGACGTCTAGTTCTTTTTGTCAGACGAGAGAATAAATTTCATACAAGCTCGCTTCGATTCTGCAGGTTAGAAAACATTTACTGGAGTCGATCAGAATCACGGCCATTTCCCCTCTCAGCGAGCTCCAGTAGCTTCAATTGGCGCAATGGGTCGTCTCCAGTCAATCATTATGAGTCACGAAGACGACATAGTGCTTTGCTCCCCCAAATCAAAGGCCCACAGTAGCGACAGTGCCTATAATACAGGCCTTCGGTTTCAATTGATTCTGGTGGTGATAGATCCATTCCATCAACTCATTCACTTTCGTCCCTGTTGGTCAACCACAGGGCATTCAATTTCGAGACAATTCTACTACCAACATCGCTCGAGTCAATATCTAGCCCAAGCCTGAATATGGATCCCTTAACGTACCCGATCCCTCAGGGCCTCCACAAGGTCCCAGACCATTTATTCGATGACCGCCCCGATGCTGAGATTGATGCTGAACTCCTCAATCCCCCACCAGTCAAGGATGTCAAGAATGTGTGGTTTTTCTGGCACTCTGGCTT